GTGTGCGTGTGCGTGTGTGTAACAGTGCTACGGAACAGACACTTTTCTGCCTGTCTAGCCAGCTGTGTCCCTGCCCGTCTACGTCTTTCTCTTGCCGTCTGGGTTTCTGCGCACAGCCCTCGGTGGTGGCGAGAAGGCAGAGCATCAACAAAGCATGTGCGTTCCTGGCACTGAGAGAATCTGTCCGCTTTCTCACCTGCGTGCCGTGGGCTAAGGACACGATACCATCCTGCAGCCTCGAGGAAGCAGCCAAGGGACCCGTGTGGGCGCAGGGCCTGCCCCAGTGAGCTGCTGACCACACCGGGACCGCGCACCGCAGGATGCTCGGTAAGTGAGGCAGAGGCTGTTTTCCTGTGCCACCCCAAGTCAAGATTCTGTTATCTGCAGCTGAACCTACTCCTAACTGCTACAGAGAACAAGAGAGGTAAAACCAGAAAAGTTTACTTGCTCATAGTATGTGAGTGTTTAAATGCAGGAAAATTATGGTAGGGACACCAAATTACCCAGCTGCAAAAGAGGCACCTGGGTAGCAACTACTCAGACGAATCGCTTATTACAATGGCCTTTTCGTGTAATCACTGTTGAAAGAATAATTTGCATGAATTATTCAGTGTTTTAGATGTAACTTACCTTTTTCACTTTTGTACAGTGGGGCACAGATTGGGTGCATCTTGTATAGATTATAAGGGTTTCATAACGATTAAATGAGAACCCAGCCTGGCCAGTTTGGCTCACTGGTTAGAGTGCCAGGCCGTGGACTGAAGGGTCGTGGCTTCCATTTCTGCCAAGGGCACGTCCCTGGGTTGCGAGCTCAATCCCTGGCCCCAGTTGGGGAGGCAACCAGTGGACGCGTCTCTCTTGCATTGATGTTTCTCTCTCCCCCCCCCCTCCCTTCCACTCTCTGAAAAGCAATGGGAAAACAACCTTGGGTAAGGATTAAAAATATAAATATATATGAGACAACCCATATCAAGGGCCGTGGCTCGTGGGAAAGTGCTCCATAAACGTTAACGGTAATGTTTTAATAATTGATATTAACCAGAAACAGTGCCAGCGACTTGTGCTTGGGCGTCCAGCTCCTCATCCTTGGCTCCCCTAGGAAAAGTCACCGCCTCCAAAAGGCCCTCCTGTCTGTCCTGGGTAAAGTGTAATCCTCCCCAGCTATCTCCCATTCCCCACCGTCCCACCTTGTTTGTGAGCTCGGGCATTTCGTTTCCGTTTGTAATTCTTTTGATCATTTATTTGGTAAATGCATGTCTCCCCCAATACAGTATAAACCCCATGAAAGCAGAAGGCCCAGCGGCTGCTTAGACTCCGTATTCTCTCTACGTTTGCTGAATTATAAGATGACCAAAATGTCAAAACAACAACCCACACCACAACCCTACACACATTATGGTAAAAGAATGTCACTTGGCATAGAAGGGGCATTTCTTCTGATGTAATTTTGTCCATACTTAAATAAAACTGAAGGTGGGTAAAAATTCTGCCCAATTCTAAGCCCTCCTCGTTTTAGGCTTCATCGGGGGACTTAGGGGTGTACTATTATTATATTGTTTCTCTAAAAGATCAATGAATAGTTATTTATAATAATTGGCCTGTGCCCCTTTATAAAGTGTGGCACAAATTGTTACCTTTAGAAAAATATGTTGTTTTGCATTTGAAAAGAGATATAAAAATTCAGCTAAAAAAATGAAAACCAATGGCTCCTTGTAATCACAGATTTAGATGTAATTCTTAATTTTTTGACTTTCGGAAGATCTTAAAACTTAGATTTGTAAAGCAGCCCCGTGAAAGCGGGCACGAGGTGTTTCGGAGGCGCGGCTGCACCGAGGCCCGGCCGCGCCGGCGCAGCAGCGGGGAGCCCTCCGCTCCACAGCGACCCCGCACCGCGCGGGACCCCCGCAGGGCCCCCTCGGGGTCGCAGGTCCCGCCCCCCGCCCACCTGCCTCCCGGAAGGAACCGGAGGCCTCCGCTTCCGGCCGGCGTTCCCTGGAACCGGAACAGGTTCGGCCCGGCTCCCTGAACCTGAGGGCCGCGGCCCCCGCTAGGCCTCGGGGTACACTGGCAGCACGGGGGTGACGGCTGGCCCAGCTCGATGCGCAGAGGGCACGTAGCAGACTTTTTTCCTGTTGGCCATTTCGCATAGGAAGAGCGCGCGAGCCCTCCCGTCCCGTCGGGGCAACTTTACCCCGTGAGTGTGGCCTCGCAGGCGGCTTCCAGTCCCTCCTACAAGTTCTCACAAAGTTGCCGCGTTTTAACCAGCAAAGGGGGGCTCTGGGGTATCACCTTAGCTCTGGGAATTTGTTTTCTAATTTTGGTGGATATGTGGCTGTCCGGAGAAGGTTCCAGAATCTCTGCATAGCCGTGCGGACAGGCGGCCATCTTGAGAGAGGGGCTATGGGGCTGGTGTTGAACCTGGTTTCTTTTTAAAAAATATGTCTTTATTGATTTCAGAGAGAGGAAGGGAGCGGGAGGGATAGAAACGTCAATGACGAGTCACTGACGGCCCCCCCACCCCCCGTTCGCCCCCTACTGGGGGTGGAGCCCCAGGGAGCATGCGCCCTGACCCCCACTAGAACAGCCACCTGGCTCACAGGTGCGGCTCAACCTCCGAGCCAGCGAGCCAGCGGGGGTGCTGAGCCTGGTTTCTGTTAGCGCAGCCTTTCCTTGGATGGGCATTGGTATGGTTGTGGTTACACTTGATAGCTAGTCCCAGGTTTTAATTAGTTGTGTTTATTTGGAGTACTTTGTGGGATTATGAGAATTTGTGGGCTAGTCTTCTGGCTGTATTTGCATAGTAAGCACTTATGTAGATTATGTGTTAACTTGGGGGAGCTTTTGAGGGTTGTTTTGTAATTAAGTCTACACAGCAAGCACACAATTTTTATGTTGGACTGAATACTGCATAGGAAGCTTTAGGAAGGTTTATGGGGATGGTGCATTTGGTACTTTTTCTGCCCTTGTTGGGCTCATTTTGCTCAATGTTTAATTTGGCTTGGATTGATTTGCTTTGGGAAACAGGAAGTAGATTTTTGGCCTGAATTGCAGAATCAGCTTGGTTAATGTCCCATTAGGCCAGTTTCAGAAGGTGCAATGCTTGATGCTGTGGCTCCCACCCACCCAGGAAGCCACACCATGGGTGACCACCTGCTTGAGGGATGACCCTGGGGATGAAGGACTAGGGAACCCAAGTGGACCTCAGGTCCAAGCAGCAACCCATCATGACTTCATGGGGCCCATGAGTGCAGAGAACCACCCCCTCCCAACAGTGGCACAAGTTTTATTTGTATTTCATGACTGAGGTTCCACATTTCCCCCAATGTGCTTTACCCATTTTTGTGATGGGTTTGCTTATTAATTCTTAAGAGCTCTTTGCTCATTAGGGAAAGTAACCCTTTGTTACAGATCTTTAGCCAGTCCCCACCCCCATTCATATTTTATGTGCAATTTTAATTTTTGTGTAGTTCTTCTACTTCCGCTCCTTAGGGCTTTTGGATCTTAGGTCACGCTTAAAGAGCTATAGTCTATAAACCAAGATTTTAATAGTAAAAATAGCCATTTTTAAAGTATCTTTTTGTATTTAAACGTGACTGATTCATTTGTGTATGGACTGAGGTAGGGATCCAACTTAAAATTTTCCCCAATGGCTAGCCAGTTGTTTTAATTCCATTTCTAGCTCTTGGTACTGCCTGTTTTGCAGAGTCTGGGTCAGGAGACACACTGGGATGTTAGTTGTTGGAGTCTTTGGATAGGGCAGTAAAGGTCAAAGTACAGAATTCTTGATGGGCCCAGTGGTTTTGTGGGGAACCAGTTTGGCAGGACAGAGCGGACATTTTGTATTGTCTGCAAATTGTCCTTAGAAACCCAAAGATTAGGTCAAGAAAGTGGCAAGATTTTTACACCTTGGGGTCTTGTTATGTCAATATGGGGCTTCCCAAGTTTTCACACCATCAACACCAAGAACAGCAGCATTTGTTCGAGACCACAAATAAGTCAAAGGAGTCACAAACTTTGCTCATTTTTAATTTTTATTGATTTTTTAATGCTGCACAAGACAATATTTAATTCATTTAATTCATTTATTTCTGTTTGCTGCTGTTAATTTTAGTTACTCAAAGAGAGAGGGAACCATTTTGGCCTTTTTTTCTTTTTCTTTATCTGAAGGCCGCCTTAAGCTTTCTAAATTTGGAATATTTAAGCAAGCTGAAAGGGAAAAGGGGTTTCGCAAAACCATTCGGAGGGGAAAGGAAAGGTTGCTTTGTCAATCATGCCCTATGGTGGGTGATTAACTGCGTGTACAATTACATTGAACTTTTAATTAATTGTGCTTAAGGCTTTAATTAAATTTGGGGGTTCCCTTCTTACAGCAGCTCATACTGACGGAGGTGCATGCGCTGGATGATGTCGCGGCAGTCGTTGAACACACGGCGGATGTTCTCGGTGTCCACAGCGCAGGTGAAGTGGGGGTAGCAGTAGTGACGCCCATCTCCACTGGCAGTGCTGATTCTCTGTGGCACAGAGAGGGAAACTGGGTCAGCGCCCCCTCTCCAGAAACTTCCCCCACAAAGGACCCTTGACCAGCTACTGACATTTTGTTAAAACAAAACCAGGTAAAGGGGCACAAAAGCTAAAATTTGTACAGGTGACAAATTAAATGAAACTGAAGTACTGGACAGTTTAATCCCCAAATGCAGAATTAAGTCAATTTCTATCCCTGAGAATAAAAGCAACCAAAGAGAGAAGGAGACAGTCTACTCACCAGAAACTCATCGCGGATGAAGTACTTGGCCCGGGTCACGCGTGGGTCCTCTCCGGGCTCGGGAGTCGCTAGGAAAAATACAAATATTTTGTTAATTAACATATACATAACTGTATATAGAACTAATGAGCTGAAATGTGTGCCAATTAACTGCAGAAGGTCATACGTACCATCCTCAGGAGTAGTGTAGCGAGCAAATTCTGGAAAGTAGTCCTCAATTTTCGATTTTCCAGCAAGGACTTTCTCAGCGAGCAGGTCTTGCTTGTTGAGGAACAGAATCACAGAGATGGTGCGCAGCCATCTAACAAAAAGGGAAGTAGGGTTAAAGCTCAGGAAAAGAGTTTTTCTTCTACAGGGGGATTGAGATGCTAGCACAAGGTCTTGGACAAGATTCTATTCTGTAACAGGGCAAATACAAGGGCTGGACATCAGTCCCATGCCTTCTGGGCAAGTGGCTGGGAGGAAAAACCTGAGGGTTGTTCCACTAACCTGTTATTCCAGATGCTCTTGAAGAGGTTCAGAGCCTCCTGCAGGCGGTTGGTCTGGTTGTCCTCCCGAATGACCATGTTGTAGCTGCTGCTGGCTACCACGAAGATGATGGCAGTCACATCTTCAGCACAAGAAAGCAAAGGTAATGAGAGTTAGAAGCAAAAATGATACCTCACAATTACAAAAGCAAAAAGTCCCAGACAGGAGAGATGCCCATGGCTTCCATACCATTGAAGCATTGGATCCATTTGCGGCGTTCGTCACGCTGGCCGCCCACATCAAACATGCTGCAGGAGAAAGAACACCTGGTCACTCCAAAGGGCTAACATGGATCCACCACTCTAACTGCCAGAGGAAACATCCAGACACCATTATCTCTGTTTCTTAGAAAGGGAACCATTCACTTACTGGAAGTTGACTTTGTCCACCTGGAACTTGGTCTCAAAGATTCCAGAAGTCAGGACACGGCAGCGAAGCAGGTCCTAGAACATAATCAAGGTCAGTGGATCTTACCAAAATGTTAAAAATCGCCAATCTAGAGCAAAACTCTTGACAAGCTTGAGAACTTTTGCATACCTGATCGCTGGGGACATAGTCATCCTGCTTGATGACATCAATCTTGTCCAGGAAGCTGGGAGGGAAAGAAAGACACACGGGTGTGAAGGGGTGTGCCAATTTGCGCAATATTCCAGCCTCTCTACCAAGTCAAGCTAATAGAAATGGTCACCCCACAGTTAAGTCAATAGGAATGCTGCTTGTGTTGGTTACATTTGTGATTCAAAGTTTATGCCTTAAAGCAGTTAGAGCAAACAGAATTTAAGATAAAAAAAAATTTAAATATGAAATTGTTTGGCTTTGACTAAACTGGCAGATAGCTTGAAAATCATATACTTTCGTGTCTCAATTTGGATCCCCCCAGGGGACTAATGAAAATTCGATGTTGGAGTTACTCAGAAGGGGTATTCCCTCCTTCCACCTTTTAAGAACCTCGCTCATTAAAGAGAACAAAAGAGGTTGACACACAGGGGCCTTTTTTTTCCCTGACCACACTGAACAGGAAACACACACAGTGTTCCCTTCCGGCATATTTGATCCATGAAATAGAACAGTCCAGATATGAAATTCGTAATTTTAAAAAACCCCAGGGCAACCCAGCATATGGGTCTTGATGTGGCAGGGAGCAAGCGTGGGGGGAGGGGGGGTTGGGGTCCCAGGGACACTCATTAATGAGCCGAAAGC